TTTAAAGCGGCACGTGGAACAGCAAGGGGGGGAAAAAACAAGGATGCACCTGATGCAGCCTATATTGGGTATAAATTAACATCAAATAATCTGATTGAGCAAACTCCACAATGAAGAAGGAACGTGCAAACAGCATCTGGGGGATGTAACACCGAAAAGACAGAGCCTCTGGTGAGTGTTCAGACGAGTCTTGGCCAAGGAGAGTCTTGGCCAAGGAGAAGAGGTCGGTTTGCTCGAGCCAGTGGCTGTACTTACTCTGTGCTTCACAGTCCACGCAGTGGGAGTTGCCTCTGATGTTCCTGATGGACTGCAGGGCCATGGCCTCGTTCTGGCTCGTCAGGCGGGACTGCGGAGAGGGGAGGAAAAGGAATCAGCAACAAGGCAGGGCCCAGCTCAGCGAGGAGACACGACGTCAGCAACCCCACAGCTCAGAGCGAGGCCGAAGGAAGGTCAGAGAGAAACCTCAAGTCTGGGATTTGCCTCTCAAGAAAACAGTGATGTTTTGGCACCTGCAAGGCTTCTGGGGGCTCCAGCCTGGACTCTGACAAGAGGGGAGACTGCACGGAGGAAAATGGAGCGTGGAAATGATCCCCCCTTCCCAAGAACAGCAGGCACGGTGCAGGTTTGCTTCTGGAGATAAATAAGGACAGCATTTCCTGGGATCAATTTCTTTTATTGATGTGCATGCTTTTGCTAATGAAGACTAAGGGGTGGTTTGCAAAAGCAGCTGAAACCTTTTTATCATGAAAAGGTCAAGATTTCATCCGACGGCTCCCATCTGAATTCTCTCCACTGTGACCTGCCAGTGACCTCTACCTGGACCTGGGGAGGCTGTCACAACATACAAGCAGATCAGCTCTACCCAGCTGAAGTGTCTGGAGGGCTCTCTGGGAAGCCAACTGTGACCTGCACCAAGGGCTGGACTCTTGGAGACAAAGTGATTCAAGCAGGACGAGGATTGGGTCTTGCAGGTGGAGACACCTCCTCCATGGGACACCTCCTAAACCTGCCCTTTGCTGTTCCAGCCAGTTCTTCTGGCATGCTCTGAGAACCTCTCTGAGCCACTCACCAGCCACTCTTTATCCTCTTTGGTAGCAATATTTCTGTGTAGGTGTCAAGGTGCCAACTCCCTGTTCTGTGCTCCCCTAACGCACATCAGAATGCGTGAATGCACAAAAAGCAAGAAAACACGTGGGATTTTCCTCCACCTCAGTAATGCATATTGGAGATAAATACATCTTTTAAAACCAAATGGTAAGTAAATTATATTGTGATGATGGTAATGCTCGGTGTTTGATCTGCTCTGGTACCTCAGGGCAAGGAAAGCAGGCATTAAATTTGAAATATGAGTCTCCTCCTTGCAATATAAAATCATGAAAGACAACTGCGAGGTGGGTAATGTCAAAGGATCTGCAGGTCTGAACAGTTAATGCCCATTCCTCTCCCTCAAACACCACTTAGCACCTTGCACTCTAACTGTGAAGCATTTGCAGACACCTTGACTGAAGATGCAGGAGTTCTCCCAAACATGAGCATCGGCCGAAGATGTCTCAGGGATTTTAAACATTTATTTTGCCAGGAGAGGAGAACAAATCCCTCCTGCCATCATACATTTCAAGGTGGAAATCTGCTCCTCTTAGGCCGTGGTTCTCCCCAGAAAGCCCCAGCTCTGCTGTGGGTGTAACACACACTTTCCTCCAGGAGCACAGGCTTAAAATTCACAGTTCTTGATTTTGCTTTCATCTGCATGATCACCCAACCTCCCCCAGCTATTCTCAGGGTTACTCTGGGCACCATACCTTGTTCTTGCTGCTCTCACATGACTGTAAACTGGCCAGGATCTGACTCTCTATGGCTTGGACCCAGGCGTCCCTTTCCTCGTAGGTGGTGGCTTCAAAGTGCCAAGTCTGGCCGGTGAGAGAGACGATGATGAACTCAAAGTTCTCCTCTTGTTCTGAACAACAACAACAAAAAAAATTGCAATAGGAAGAAGAGATTGAGTTAAGGGTATTGACAATCAGCCTAAACAAGCTTGGTTGATGAGAATTTCTGCGATTTAATGGCTTTAAGCTGAAGGAGGGCAGGTTTAGATGGGATATCGGGAAGGAATCCTTCCCTGGGAGGGTGGGCAGGCCCTGGCACAGGTTGCCCAGAGAAGCTGGGGCTGCCCCTGGATCCCTGGAAGTGTCCAAGGCCAGGCTGGACAGGGTTTGAAGCAACCTGGGCTGGTGGGAGGTGTCCCTGCCCGTGGCAGGGGGGTGGGACAAGTTGGGCTTTAAGGTCCCTTCCAACCCAAACCATCCTGGGATTCCAGAACACACAGAGGTTTGAGCCTGGATCCCTGTACAAGGCACCAGGAAACAACGTGTGGATCTGCTGATTTTCCCTCCAAATGTTATGCAGATAAAGACCTAGTTTGGGAAAACACTCAGTTTCCTGGGTGTGTTTGTGAGTTTGGTGTCAAGCCTGTGCCTTTCTCAAACGTCAAGTGGCCAACAAGCAGTGTTTAGCTTTCAACCCGACATGCTAAGAGCTACATAATGTAAAAATCAAAGTGTGCCGCAAAATAAAAGATGAATGGACTATAAAGAGCTGACACTACAGAAAATTTAACAATTTACCCTCTTCTTTCAAGCACTTTTTACACGCACAAATATATTAAAGCAGATGTGTACGTTTTCTCCTGTACAGCATAAATACTGGGATAATAATAATAATAATCATCATCACTGGGATATAATATAGGATTAAAATCAGTTCAACCTATTCAACATTCACGTTCGACATGGGAGATGAGAAAATGATCTGAGCAGCCAGCAGAGAGGGTCAGTGAAATATCCTAAGGGCTACTGCAGGATAAGGACAAGTATTCAGGCCAGAGGAGCAGCACAAGAAAATACCAGCAGAACTGAAATAAATGGACACACACTCTACCCACACATGGGACACCAGTGGCAAATTAAAAAAAAAAAAAAAAAAAATCAAGGAAGCTGAAAACAGAGCAAGTGGAATTGGGAAGGGGCTGGCACGAAGCATGAAAGAAAAGAATAATAGAGCACAAAACTCTGGTGAACATCAGCCATAACGAGCTTCAAGACAGAGCATTTTGTCTGGTAATGGCTTATTATACATTCAGAGCCACGAACTACCCTGTTCCCTCGTCATCCCCAGGCATGCACAGACGAGGGACAAATCCAGCACTGCTGCCACTGCCAGTCGCCTTCCCAGCCTGGGGGTTTTACTTGGATAAACTCCATGTTATCAGAAGGTTACTTTGCACCTTGAGGCGGGAATAAACACGGAGTTGAAGCTTATTTTCAGGTGCAGGAGAGCACCTGAAGCAGCAGTTTTACTAAAAATACACTGTGTGGAATAAGTGGGAAAAGAAATCATAGACTCCCAGAATATCCTGAGCTGAAAGGGACCCACAAGGTCCAACTCCTGGCACTGCCCAGGACACCCCAACGATCCCACCCTGTCCCTGAGGGTGTTGTCCAAATGATCCTGGAGCTCTGGCAGCCTTGGGGCTGTGCCCACTGCCCTGGGGAGCCTGTTCAGTGCCAACCTCCCTCTGGGGGAAGAACCTTTCCCTGAGATCCAGCTGAAATCTCCCCTGACACAGCTCCACGCTGTTCCCTTGGGCCAAACATGAACGATCCAGCTGCACAGCTACAACTGCTTTTCTATTTTAGCAGCACTGTGATACAAACAAACAGGGAGGAGAACCATTACCCAAAATGTTACAACAACCAATCAAGGGAAAAGCCTCGTTTATCAAACAGAGCCCCCTCCTGTTCCTGAGCAAGATGCAAGAGGAACCACTCCACAATAAATTCTGTGCACTGTCTCCTGTAGGATCACACAGTTAAGGTCTGCTACACCTGATCAGGTGTAGCAATGCCCACAAAAGGACAAGGAGCAAACCTGTACACCCTTAACCCCCGCACACACGGGAACAGGAGAATCCAGGCAGCAGGATGAAATTGTTCAGTCTCACTCTTCACAGTCGAGTTATAGGTTGTGCTATTTAAATCCCTTTGAGCCCAATCACAAAATTTTATTAAACAGTTTTCCATGTTTAACAGTTATTCATGGAAAGGTCCACTATAATAGTATTTTAGCACCATCAACCTGTCGAAATCAACCTGCCCAATTACTCCAAACTACATTAATAACACCGGATATTACACTAATTGTGTCCAGTTTCTATGCAGACGAGGTCCCACGGGGCTAATTCTGCATCCTCAGGGGCAAGCAACTCAGCCATCAGCCTGATTTCACCAGGAATCCCTCCTCATTACACAAGTTCAGGCTGTCAAACTTTTTTTTTTTAAAAAAAAAAAAAAAGGTTAATGGGCCAATCAGTCATCAATTATTTCCTGGAAGGGCAGGAGAGGAAGGGTTAAAGTGCGAAGAACCAGCTGCCACTGACTTCCATTTGGAAATTATTACCAACAGGAGATGTCTAAAGTGTTGTTGTTGTTGTTGTTTGTTTTGCCTTTTTTTTTTTTAGAGTGGGAGGGGTGGCTGGGATGGGAAATGAGCCAAAACTCTGAGGCTGTGATGACATGGAACCCAAAGCATAAGGGATCTTTTTCTGTTAGTGGAAGTGGGAATGCTCACAGGCATTCCATGAATTTTAGGAAAACCCCCACACCACCAGAGCCACCACTGCACTTCCAAAAAGTTACCCAGAGAAGCTGTGGCTGCCCCTGGATCCCTGGAAGTGTCCAAGGCCAGGTTGGACGGGGCTTGGAGCACCCTGGGCTGGTGGAAGGTGTCCCTGCCCATGGCAGGGGGTGGCACTGGATGAGCTTCGAGGTCCCTTCCAACACAGACTAGTCTGGGATTCCACGATGCCCTTTTCACCATCATCCTTCCACAGTCAAAGTTACTGCATTTAACCCAAGTTCACAATTAGTTTGCTCTGCCAAGAGCCAGACACTGCCAGAGCCCACCCACTGCTGGAAAACCAGAGACACAGTTTCTGAGAAGCAAAGGATTGTGCAGGAGAAAAACAAACATTTAGGCACAGCCTGTGTTTGTGGTGTGTCACAGAGACCAGATTTAGAAAACTACACTGAAAATCACCACAGGATGCAATTAGTCTTTAACTTGTTCCAGAGAACTCAATTAAGTTGATGAAAATGTAGGGAAAACACGTGTCCAGAAGCAGTGACGCCTCTTGGTATCTGGCAAGAGCTGTTCTAAAGAACCTGCATGAATCAGTTTGATATCAATTTCTGCATCCAACCTATTAAATAGCCATGGACACCTTGCACCAGTGTTTGAACAAGCACAAACAAAGGTTCAAAGTCACAAAATCATCGAGTTATCAGGTTGGAAGGGACCTCGAGGATCACCTGGTCCAACCTTCCAGCACTGAAAGTCAACAGAAGGCAAAAGGCTCTTCTCTGCCAGGCACTGTACAGTGAGAAAGTACACCCATCCCAAAAGGCAGCTTTTAAACAAAGAAATATTCCTATTTTCACGGAATCGTAAAACTATAGCACCATTCAGGTTGGAAAAGACCTCCAAGATCATCAAATCCAACCATTTTGAGGGGTATAAATCAGAGGCTTGCCAGTCTTAGGGCGTTTCTCACAGGCATTCAGCAGCAATTGTTTTGCCAGAATCAGAAAAATAAATAAATAAATAAATAAATAAATAAATAAATAAATAAATAAATAAATGTTCTGGCTTCCAAGCCAAGCTCCCTTTCCCTCACGCCCTCCTCCCTCTGGCAAAAAGCTCTTCTGCTCAAGCAGCATCCTCATAAACCCCCATCCTTTCAAAAAGAGTGGCAACCAGGAGTGGCTGAGGTGCCCTGCCACGCACCAGGAGATGTTTACAGCACACAGTTTGTGTTATTTATGTCCTGTGTAACGTTAACCCTCCTTACTTTTCGCCACTCGGTGTAAATTACCCCCTCCCCCCCCCAACTTGGCAGATAAGTATGTTTATTAGCAGCCTCAATTAAGGAAATATTTGTGCCATGTCCCACTGGGCATGGCTATGCTAATACTTCTCTCCCCTCTCCAAACCCAGTGTCTAAATCTAATTAGTTTTGAAAAATCAACCCTATCAGGACAACAGAGCTCTGCTTTCGCTGGCCCACAGCTCTTGATCAGGGTTGTGCTCCACTGGAAGAATTTTATATTGTTTTATATCGCTACCCACGAGTGACAAACTGGTGATGAAAGGCACTGAAGCCCCCCCCACCAAATGGACTTGTTTTATTTGGGTGCCAAGACTTCTAAAAAACTTAAAAAATTCAGTCTATACAGGATGTAACTTCCTGCCCAGGCAGCAAAGGCATAACTGACTCTGAAACCAAAGGGAGTTTGGGGCTTCACGAATATTCAAACTAAAGGCTGCCCATCAGCGCCTGGCAAATCCGACCCAGCACTGTTTAAAATCACACATGTAACTCCGTGAAGAGTGGAAAAACGAAGATTTAATATCTTTATGCAGGTTAAACCCCAGCATGCCGAGAGCACGGGCATTAAATTCCATAAAGACGATCCTTTCCACTCTGCTGCAAAACAGTAAAATCACGGAATCCCAGACGAGTTTGGGTGGGAAGGGACCTTAAAGCTCACCTCATTCCACCCCCTGCCATGGCAAAGGGACACCTTCCCCTAGCCCAGGCTGCTCCAAGCCCTGTCCAACCCGGCCTTCAGTCTGTTGATCCAGGAGAAATCATTCTGTATTTTAATAGTACTACAATGACAGGAGGTACAAGTGACTCCAGCAGGTCTTAAAACCAGAGTGGGGTTTGTTTTAAGTGTAACTCACTGATACGAGGTATTTCCCCCACCCTGGAGAATCAAAGGATTGCTTAAAGCCTGGGCTGCCTGCAATAGGGAGCAGGTGGGACTTTGTCACTTGTCAGTGGCTCCCTATAGAAAAAAACCCAGACCTGAGAACTAAGAGTTCAGGCAAATCCTAAAA